AGTGGGGGCTGCGATCGGCCGAACCTGCCGCATCAGCAGGTAAATAAACTGGCCCGGCCTGCCAGGGTGCTTACCCTGGCGAGCCACGTGCCAAACATTGCCGACCCCTAATCTAGAGTGCAATGTTTTGCAACCCAAACAGTGTTACCACATGCCAGTATATGAGAATCTGAAAGTGAAACTGACTAAATTGGCTTGTTTATTTTCATTGTTCAAAATAAGTGAAATGTAAAAACTAAACAAACATGAACAGTAGAAAGCAAATTGGATTCTTAAAATTCAGTTTTAATGATCTAAGATGCTGTTTTTAACACGTTAATTACATTTAAAAAAATAAAACTTTCTTTAAATGACTGGGTCCATTCAGTTACTGATCATCTTCCTCATGTGCAAGTAGTACTCCTGAGGGCATTCTGCACCAAAAAATTAAAATTTGTGTGCACAGTATTTTAAAATTCTGCACATTTTATTTGTTAAATAAGTGTGTAGGCTCCTTCATGGCATTGGGGAGCACATGCCACTGACTGCACAAGGTGTGCAGCTCCCCCACCCCAGACACTGACTCAGCAGTGAGGCTGCACCCAACCCTGACAGCACAAGGACTGGGCTGCCCCAGAAACACCGCCTCTCCCCCCCAATGCCATATGCACCAGGTGTGGGCTGGCAGGCTCAGCAAGGCAGGATCCAAGTGTGGAGGGGCTTAGCGTGGGGGGATCCATGTGGGGATTGAGAGGGTTCTGTGGGGGGGAAATCTGGGTGCAGGAGGGCTCTGGATGCACAGGGGCTTGTTGGGGGGTTCTGGGTGCAATGGTAATGGGACTCTACAGGGGGGTCCAGGTGAAGGTGGTTGGGGCTCAGCATGGGGGGGGTCTGGATGTGGGGGGGGGGGAAGAGAGCTCAGCAGAGGTGTCTGGATGTGGAGGGCTCAGTGGGGTGGGGATCCAGGTGCAGCTGATTGGCCTCAGTGGGGTAGGGATCTGGGTGTGGGTGGCTCATCGGGGCGGTGCAGGGGGAGTGGGGCTCATTGGGATGGGGGGGGTGTTCTGAGTGCAGGGGGGTGAGGATCAGCGGGAGGGTCTGGATATGAGGAGGTCTGGATGAACAGGGGTTGGGTGGGTGGGGGAGTAGCTCTCTGTATAGGAATCCCTCCCCTTGCAGCTGAGGAGCGATGGGTGCAGGAAACAGGGGTGGGGGGAGTTTGCAGAGCTTCCTACAGTTAGGGGAGAAATCTGGGGGTAGGTCTGACCCAGCCCCAGATGCCGTGCAGGGGAAGAGGAAGTCCCATCCTCTCCAGCCAGGACTAGCAGCTGAGCCTGGCGCAGGATAGGGAGCCAGGTCTTCCCCAGTCCCACCCCCAGCCTCAGTGATTTACCTCTCTGCTGGCTGCCCTGGGCACCTAAAACTGCTGGGGAGGGTCGCATGACCACTCTTGTGGCTTCCCTTTGCTTCCCCATCAAAAAGTCATTTTTCTGCAGGGAAGCAAAGAAATCTGCAGGGGACATAAATCATATGTAGTGGTGCAGGATTCCCCCAGGAGTAAAGTAGGAGATTCAGAGGTCAACACCATATCTAAGTAGCAGCTCTCCCACAGAGACATTGCTTTGGTGAAAAATTATGGAGAAACTAACATCTCTTCATGGATAAAGTTGAAGCTAGCTTTCCTTTATAAGTCTGACTTTGTCTATCGCCCTCATCTTCAAAACTACAATTCTCCTGAAATGTCACTTATACGATTTTATGGTAGATTAGAATTTTTCCGGTAAATCAAACAAATCTGGCATGTTTCCAATCTTTATTTGTTAATGGACCCTTCCAAGATGCCATATGGTGTCACTGAATCAACGTATAGCTGAAAGCAAGGAACTTTTGAGTTCCAACATCACCACTGCCACTAAGTGTCAGCAATAGCCTACATTTATTCAAGCATTATAAATTCCCAGTCAAGTAGATAAATAATATCATTCCAATTATAAATAAAGTGAAACTGATGCTTACATATGTAAGCTACTTGTCCAAGGCCACAAAGGAAGTTACTGTCACAAACAGGATTAGACTCCAAGCCTCCTGACACCCAAAGTTCTAGGCCTTATTCACCACACCACAATGCCTCCCATGCAAGTCTCTGGAAATACTCTACCTACCTACATCACAAGGATTCCCATATGATCCTTTTGCTCAACATAGGATTTAAGGTGGTGTATGGGACAGATTTCAACCAGTGGGTGAGATGAAGGCAGAATTACTGTGGTTTTAGATACCTGAACTGTTACTTTTCATAGATAAGGTTACACCTTAAAATATAGTTTCCTGGTTTTCAGATTTGTTTTTAAAAACTACACCACTATTAATATTTCTTTCACTTAAATGACCAATATGTATTTAGAGCCTTAACTACAGATTAATATGTACATTGTCTGGGAATATTCTGAAAACTCATTTTAAAATAGCTTAGTTTATAAAGTGATTACATATAATAACTCAAGAGTTTCAAGATTCTAACCTTTTTAAGAACGCTGTGTATTTCATCCATAACAGTGGCTAAATTTTTGATTGTCTTATTCAGCTGCCCCTCAAATTGCAAATTGGTATCTTCTGAGGTCTTCAAATTCTCTTGTAGTTGGTTTAGGTCCTTTTTTACTTCTTTAAGCTCTCCAGACAGGCTTTTGTTAGAATTTTCCAAATGTAATATGGTTTTTTCATCTTCATCTGGGGAA